AGCTGAGAAATTCGTTTGAGGTGAAGACCGGTGTCAGGCAAGGTTGCTTACTCTCACCCTTTCTCTTTCTCCTGGTCATCGACTGGATTATGAAGACGTCAACATCTGGAGGGAAGCACGGTATCAACTGGACAGTTAGGACGCAACTGGACGATCTGGACTTCGCAGATGACCTGGCTCTTCTATCGCACACTCAACAACAAATGCAAGAGAAGACGACCAGTGTAGCAGCAGCCTCTGCAGCAGTAGGTCTCAACATACATAAAGGAAAAAGCAAAATTCTCCGATGCAACACAACATGCACCAACCAAATCACGCTTGATGGAGATACCTTGGAGGACGTTAACACCTTCACATATCTTGGCAGCATCATCGACGAGAAAGGTGGATCGGACGCAGATGTGAGGGCGCGGATTGGCAAAGCAAGGGCTGCATTTCTACAGTTGAAAAATATCTGGAACTCCAAACAACTTTCAACAAAACCAAAATCAGGATTTTCAATACAAATGTGAAGACAGTTCTACTGTATGGAGCGGAAACTTGGCGTACTACGAAATCCATCATCCAGAAGATACAAGTGTTTATGAACAGTTGTCTACCCAAAATACTTCGGGTTCGTTGGCCAGACACCATCAGCATCAACGAACTGTGGGAGAGAAAAAACCAGATTCCAGTGGAGGAGGAAATCAGGAAGAATTGGTGGAAGTGGATAGGACACACACTACGAAAAGCACCTAATTGCGTCACAAGACAAGCCCTCACATGGAACTCTCAAGGCAAAAGGAAAAGAGGAAAGCCAAGGAACACACTATGCCGAGAAATAGAGAAAGATATGAGAGGAATGAACAAACATTGGACAGAACTGGAGAGAGAAGCCGAGGACAGAGTTGGTTGGAGAAAACTGGTGGGCGGCCTATGGTCCATTGGGGGTAACAGGCGTAAGCACGTAAGTAAGTAATTTTAAAGCTGTCTATTAAGGGGGCTGTGGTCACCTTGGCAGACAGAGCATTTCAACTTGCAACGACTCTTAATAATGGCAAGTGTGCACGTACCTGAGTACACAATTTCTCGAGGATTACCTCAAGGGGAGTGGTGGTGATGCATCGGTTAGACGCTAATGTTGGGATTATTTGGTGAGCCTAATCTCATGTTCGCCACTATCAGATCACTTCTGATTCTTCTGTAAGTCAGGGGGAATAATTCCAAATACCGGATTATATCTTCGTAAGTTTTGTTTCTCAACCGTATCACCTATTTCGTTTATATATATATATATATATATATATTAGAACAACCATTCAAAACGGTTTCAGTGATACGTAGCTAATATAAACGCACTTGTCGCATTGTTGACTATCATGATCCAAGAAACGCCTAAATAATGCAGTCGTAATGCCAGGTCTGTTTCCAGAAGAGAAGCAACCACAACCACATAAGTAGGCGACATTCACCCAGAATCTCACCGAATGTGCCACTCCGACGAAAGCTGATGAGCGGGTGTAAGTCATAAAAGGCAAACAACCAGATGTTACTAAAGAATCACCGGCTTCAATATCCAATATCTTTTTCACGAGCTAGTGTAAACCAATTTGATTTCTTCGCGCTCTATTCTTTTTCTTTCAGTACGATTCCAGGTGTTCGGTAATGTCCAATGGATGGAGGTCTAGCCACTCGACTGTCTAATTCTAGTCAGTTGGCAGTTCGTTGTGAATGTAAAC